CCTCCCACACGCTTTACCACCTCACTGAATGGACACCCCATTCTTCCACTTGTTCAGAAAAACAAAAGTTGGGTTTTATGCCTGACTCCTCTCTTCATACCACATCACACATCCCATCCATTAGCAAATCTTGTCTCTGCCTTCAAAATAGAACCTCAAAATCAACTATTTCTCACTTGCTACCACCATCATCTCCTGTCCAGATTGTTGCAGTAGCCCCTTAACAGATCTCTTGTTTCTGCTCTTTTACTCCTATGGTTTATTGTTCTCAGAGCAGCAGAGCGATTCTTCTAAAATATAAGTCAAATAAGGTTGTTTCTGCTCACATCTCTCTTGAATCTAAAGTCTGTATGATGGCCAATAAGGCCTTATAGGACCTGTCTCCTTGACACTTTGCCAATTTCATCTCTGTTCCCCTCGCTCCGCCCCTGCCTGAATTTCTCCCCAGTAACCAAGCCCGGCACATTCCCACCTCAGGGCCTTTGCACTCACTGCCATCTCCCTGGAGTGCTCTTTTCCCTAGATATGCTTTGCTTGCTCACCTCCTTCAGACATAGATCTCGGTCTTCACCAGGAGCTCTAGGTGTGTGATCCATTCCAGAACACCCCACATTTTTCTCTGTCCTCCTCTCTCGCTCTCTTTCCTAACCCAAAGTATCAATCAAGTGTTAACTAGGAAAGTAGAAATCATTCTTAGTATCTGAAATAAAGGGGCGATTTAATGAAAATTAGTTACATGTGTGATGACAGAGGTTGAAAACCCAAACAGGGGACAAACATTGAGGCGACACAGAAGTTGGGATCAGTAGGAAACCACTAACCCACTCCCCGCAGGAAGAAGGGACAAAGGCACCCACCATCACCTGGCCAAAGCAGCAGTTGCAGTGGGTGTGGCAGAAGCTGCGGCACTGAGGAGAGGCAGCCCCACTACAGATGCTGCCAAGGGAGGTGGAGGACGTGACATCTGGCTTCTCCCTCCCTCCTGCTCTCTAGGCTCCCTCAGTGCTTCCCTCTGGGTGAACTCTCTGAGAGGCGCTGACACGGAGGACACGCTCCACCTACAGTGGGCAGCACCCACCACCCCATTCCGAGCCCTGGCAGGGCAGGGACTGAGTCTCAGGGCAAACAGGTCCAGCATTGGCACAATCTGCTCTGTTTTTCCTCAGAGCATTTTTATCATCCTTGACATATTTACAACTTTTTGTTTATTTTTGGTTTCTCTACCTTGACTAGAATGTAAGATCTACGAAGCAGGGGCTTTGCTGTCTGTTCACTGCTGTATCTATGACTCCTAGAACAGTGCCTGGCACATAGTAGGCACTCGACAGATACTCTTCGGATGAACAAATATGCCTCAGCAGCCAGTGAATCTGACTTATAGCAGGCATTGAATAAATGCTATTGAATGAAGGAGAATGACTAACAATTTAATACAAAGGTAGTTATGTGAAAAACAACATGGTGCCATCTTAGTTGTAATCCATCTCAAGAGATGTTTTAACACACCAAGACTCCTGAGATCACATTCATCTGAAGAACCTTATAGTTTATGATGTATTTTCATATGTGAGTTCTTTGAATCCCTAGTATCATATTTCCTCAGGGCTTTTATACTCAGCTATTTTTCCATTTCATTTTTATTAATTTGTCCAGTTAAAATGCTTCCTACTTGATTATTTTTGTTTCCAATTTCCTAAAAATAGTTCAGGAAATCTGAAACTCTGAACTCAATTTGTTAAAAAAAAAATAAATGAAAAAACAAAACAACCTTGAAAATAAATGCTTACACTATTTATTACTATTAATAATAAAATTGAACACTATAATACAGAAAAAATGGGCAAAAAATAATTTATTAAATCTCAAGATTAAAAATCAAATCTGGCTTTATGGTCAATTAAGTGATAAATACTATGAGAAACTATAAATAGTGGTCAAACAGAAACATTTCTCTTTTCTGGAAACTTTCCACTTTAAGACAATCTTAAATTCAGAGTTCATTTTCGTGTTCATATAATCTTGATCTCTCTTAGAGATCAAGTTCTAAGTTACTTGTATAAGTAACAACTGTATTTTGATTTCTCCATTGACTTTGGATAGACTTCTGGATAACGAAGAAAGATAGAATTAAAATTTAGGATTTGGGGGACAATTTAGGTATGTTAAAGACATGTTTTAGCTGCTGATCTGCCTCTTTAAGATTCTCCCAAAGACAAACAAAGGATTGAATTTCAACCTGAAGATACATCATGTGTTTGAAATAACTTCAAGACCAAAGAACTCATCCTATTCTTTTCTGGAGCAAATGATTCATTCAGGCGAGTGTCTTAAAAGAATCCACCCATGATAAACAATAGAAAGATTATGATGTTTCTGTCTTTGTCCTCAGGCAAGAAGAAATTCAAATATATTCTTTCTGTGTGAATTCATTCTGTTCCACCTCAGCCGTTCAAATCTCCAAAATGAGTAACTGTTACCAACATAGTCTTGTTTATGCTTGTTTTTAGAGCTGTTTTTTTTTTTCTTTCAAGACCTGATCACAGGCCCCTGAGAAAATCAGAAGGGACAAAGTAAGTGTCCATTGTGTTTGTTGTTTAATCTGTTTCTGGTAAGCATATGATACAGCACAGAAAGAAATGGTAAATATCGTGTTACAATTTTGAGACACTCTGAGCTCAGCTTCTAGTTTTTCCAATTGTTTGTACTTCATATTATAATTATAATAATGATGGCTCACAGTTACTGAGCACGTCTACATCAAGTACTGATTCTGTGTGCTGTGTGTGACCAGTTGTTCAGCCTCTGAACAACTCTGTGAGCCTGGATTTGTTACTATCCTCATTTCGCAAATGGAGGAACTGAGGCACAGATAGGTAAGTAACTTGCCCATTGCACTGCTAAAGGAGAGGAATGTTCCATAAGCCTAAGCAGTCTGGCTCAAGAGCTCATATTCCTACCCAGCTCCAAACTAGCAAATGGAAATTAAAATATCTTATTTTGGTGTTCTTTTCTAGGGGAATAGATACTTTGATAAGCTGATTTTCCAAGGAATGGGAGGCCCTGATGACATGTTTAAAAGAGACAATAAAACGAAGCTATAGTATAACTGCTTTACCTCTAAAAAGAAAAATAATTAAACAAGAACTTGGGTTTCTCATAGAGGTCAGAGAAGGGGGAGTGTCAGACAGAAGGGCAGGTGGCTGGAATCTGTGTGGCGGTCACTAGGCACATGATTCTGAAGCTGGCCTTGCCCCAAAACATTAAGAATAAGATTTTTTTTTTCACCAATTGCTTGGTAGAGGCCATTAGAATCCTCATATGATTTTGGAAGTCAAGTTTATTTAAATTTCAAAGGATGAGTGATATCACCTGACTTTTGAGTTATAAATTGTTGGTATATAGTTCTAATATTCAACATATATGCTTGGAAAACTGCGTTTTTAGATTTTCCACTGAATTTAGAATAGGATTATTTTTATAGTTGTATCTTGTCCTCTCCTATGGATCCCAATTTTTATTTTTAAATCAAGGAGAAAGTAACTGCCCATAAGCAAATCTGAGTGCAATTTTCAGTGTTTTCCAAACTATTATATCACAGCATTGATGCCACAAAACTAAGAATACGTACAGGAAAACACAACAAGCTTGACCGACATTCGAGAAACTACTCCATGTCAAGTACTACGTCACACCACTTTCTAAAATCTACTTTATTGAGGTAGAATTAACATATAATAAAATCCACTAATTTTATATGTGTAGCCTTAAAAAATATATACAGTGGTGTCACCACTACAACAATCATGATATAGGACATTTCTATCGCCCCAGAAAGTTCACTCATGTTCTTTTGTAGTCAATCCCTTCCTTCACTTTCCACCCTTGAGAGTGATCCACTTTCTGTTATTATAGTTTTTCCTTCTCTAATTTTTCATATAAATAGAATCATATGTATATAGTCTTTTGTACTTGGTTTATTTCACTTACCGTATTGCTTTTGGGATTCATCTATACTATTGAATGTATCAGTTATTTGTTCCTTTTTAGTGCTGAGTAGTATTCCACCATATGATTGTACTACAGTTTGTTCATTCACCAATTGATAAGCATTTGAGATTTTAGATATCATAAAACTGTCATGAGCATTTATATACAAATATATATATATTTGTATATAAATATATTTCTTACAATCCTCATTTCACAAAGAAATCCAGAAAGCCTGGATCTCTTACAATCCTCATTTCACAAATGGAGAAACTGAGGTATATATGTGTGTGTGTGTGTGTGTGTGTGTGTGTGTATTTTAGAGATGGAGGTCTCATTATGTTACCCAGGCTAGTCTCAAACTCCTGGGTTCAACTTACCCTCTTGCCTCAGCCTCCTGAGTTGCTGGGATTACTTTCCAAGTATAGGCTCAGGTGATGCCCGTATATCTCAAACACAGAGAAGAAATCCCTACATTTCTTATGTGTGAGATCAATGTGCACAAAACTTGATTTTATACTTTAAGGAATGCTTAAATGCATTGGTCAATGTTTGAGAGGCTAGGGGGAACACTTCTCTCCTACTTCTCCTAGTTCCTTACTTGGAAGGGGATTGCTTCTAATGTAACACACTCTGTGTCTACCTGGGCTCTCAGCCTTCTCTTTGGGAGGTGAGTTCAGAACATGCATAGGAATGAGGAATGCAGTTATTGGGGCTCTTAATCCAAAGGTTCAGACAAAATAGAATGCTGAGATTGATTTAATAAATGCTTTTTAGTATTTAGTTATAAGACATGTCTAGCTTCTCCAAGTTCACAAAGCATATAATAAGCTTAAAGTACAGTCAGAGATTTTGTTCATACATAATAACTTCCTGTTAAAAGAATTAGGCAGCTGAAAATGGTTGTTGAATCTTTATCCAACAGATATTTAGACCTAGGACTGGAAATTTGATGTTTAAGAATGGTTCTATTCTACTTTGAGGCAGAGTTTAGATTAAAAGACCTCTTGAAGTTTATTTCAGGTCTACAAATTTATTGATAACTATAAATATTTTTTAGCAGATGAATAATACTGAAAATAAACAAGCTTAAATTCTTATGGTACAATATCTCCACTTCTCCCGAATGTGCTTTTTCCTTGTGGACACCAAAATCAAATGATGAGTTTAATGGTTCTTTACACTGAAACCAAGTATTGGTTCTCATCATTCGGGTAATGTTCTTTGCCTTAACATCATATTCAAATTGCTTTGATCCACGGGAGAAATAGAAGAATCCTAGAGACAGAGAATCATGATTAGTTATCTGGCATAACTATATAATGGTTTCATACTTTTCAATTTTATGAATATAGAATAAAATGACATTATGGAGAACAGAGACACTTGTGGAATTATATAGATACATTTTTAGTTTTCTACTGTCATGTGGGAAATCTTATTATTTTTATCTCCATGAGGAGGAAGCCACGGTATAAAGTATGAATTTCAAGGGACTTACTACCTTTATAGCCAGACTGTGGTCTATGCCAGAGGTTCCCAAACTAGTTTTCAACAAAGGAGGAAAAGGTCCCTGTGGGTGTGGCCTTGGGCCCTACATCCTCATTTTCTTAGAGCTGTTCTATTTTTATCTGTTTTGGGTTTTGAGGTTCTCTGTTAGATTTCATTGTGAAAATGGATTGTGTCACCCAAAAACATTTTTAGACTTTGGATTACTCCATGATCTAGGAGGTCATTATCTTTGCAGATACAGTAGCTGGACTGTGTGCATCAGATTCCCTGAGGTTCTTTTAAAATTACAGATTCCTGAGTCTCACCCACAATCCTACTGCCTCAGATACTTTGAAATTGGTTTCACACACAAACCCCAAGCTATACATATTAAACTACATACACTTAAGTTTGAGAATCATTGTTTAGTTCATGTGTTTAGTCATTTTTCATACTTTTTGGGTGTTTTTTTAGGGGTTTCTTTACATCAATGATAACCAAAACTAATTTTGGTACTTTTGATAGATTTGAAATAGTATAACAGAGAATATAATTCAGGATTTTTTGGATTCAGTTTATGATAATGCCTGCAGGATTAATGTTTATTATTTCATATACTTAAGAGTAGTAAAATTACATTAAAATCTAAACATTTTAGTTTTTGTGCTGTCTTCTTTCATACTCAATACAATCTCCCAAGGGTCTTAATAGTTTAGGTATCAATGCTCACCTTTATACTGGAAAGCAGCATCAACACGAAGACCAATTCCTGGAAAGTGTTTTATCACCCTCTGTGGGAACCCTTTCTCCATGGTTTGGGTCATCTCATCATACCTGCATACAAGAATTTGAAAGGTTTCCAGTGGATCATTGGTTTGGGGAGCTTAATTAATCTACTTCCCAACTTAGAGTCAAGCAGGATGTGTGGGACAAATAGGCCTAGCAGAGGAAAACTCATTGAATCAATAATAAAAATATGGTGAAGGTTATGTTTGGTTGAATCATTTACGGTATCTTGCAAACAAGCAATGATTGGGAACAAAGGCCACATCATTTGTTAGATTGATGCTATTCTGAGGAATTGTTAAGTCACACTGAGGGCTCAGCTTGGAGCTTTCATAAATTTTGATTGGATGTTTTTGTGTTATTGGCAATTTGGTTGGCATTAGCAACTTCATTATTTTATCTTACTGGTATGTTTTTCTTATTTATTTATTTATTCATTTATTTCAGGATATTATGGGGGTACAAACATTTTGGTTACATGTTATGACTTTGCCACTCCCAAACCATGTATTTTTTTAAGTTAGAGAAAAATCACTGACTGGGCTCATTGAAACATCCGTTGATTTTATAAATGTCATCCACCAGAGATTGCCTTTAACATAACTCACCTTAAGAAGAATGCAGATTCATCTTATTTTTTCCTGTGTCAAAGTGATGTTATTGTGAATATTTTTCCCCATAATATTTTTCCCCATAATAAAACAAAGGGGTCAATCGTCTGAGAACTTACCTCCAGCACCAAATTCCCACAAAGAAGTAGGTTTTTCTTGTGTTTCGGTCACAGACAGCTGCATCTATTTTCTTCACACTGCTTGGAAAGCCAAGTGTGTGAATGGATTTGGGATAATCTGGCAAGACAGCATACCCTCTGATCATCCAGAAGTTTTCATCTAGAAAGAGAGAAAGTGATTATCTGCTGCTCTATTTCCTAGACGGAGAAATAGATGTCTGAAGAAGTTTGAAAGTAATTAAATGCCTACTTTCTCTTAACTTCATTGCTTAGAGACTTAGTAATCTTATGTCTTCATTTATTCTTACCAAGTTCTTTAGTGGCTAATATCACTAATATTATACAAATAATATAGCCTGTGGGCAATAGTGTGCATACCCTTGCCAGTTAGTTTCACTGTATTGATTGATTTTAATTGGCTAATTTGGTCAGTCAAAACAATCAAATATGCACTGTCTGTATGGATCAAAACATCACATGGCACCCAATAAATATGTGCAATTAGTACATGTCAATTAAAATTTTTAAAAAAAGTATGTTTGGATATGTTCTTCTAAATTTCAGCTGTCAAGTGCTCTCAAAGGCTAGTAATCTGAAGAAATCTGTATAAAAAGTAGGGTTTCTGGATTAAATATAAGATGCCAGTTAAATTTGAATTTCAAATAAACAATGACAAACTTTTGGTATAAATAAATATGAAATATTGTGAGGGTCATAGGTGTACCATACGTTGTTTGTTGTTTATCTGTAATTCATAGAATCCTGTATTTTTATTTGTCAAATATAGCAACCCTAGTAAAAAGGGAACATAAAAGAGAAAGTGATTACTTTTATTTGGCAGAAAAACAGACTTTTTTAGCTTTTATCACACAGGTTTCTTTTAGTCTCTATGCAATTGGATTTGTGTTTATCTTCACAGCCACAGAGAATCCCTAGATAGTTATTCTTTATGAGAGGAACCTAAACTGAGGTCAAAAGCCCTGTGCATTTGGCTCCTGCTTGAATATTATATTCCTTATGCCAAAATACCCACTGGCCAGTCCAGGCATCCAGAGGGAGAAGAGAAATCACAATGAGCAAAGTTACCTTTAAAAACCAGAATCTTATCTTTGGGGTTCTCATATGCAGCTTGAAGATCGGCTGGCAGAGATGGCCAGAATGAAGCTATTAATTCAAATTCAACATCAGTGATATCATAATAGATCCTCCAGAGGTGCCTGTGTTAAACAAAAACCACTTTACACATGCAGCCTTTCTAGTCACGTCAGTAAAATCACTGCAGTCTCAGGCTTGACTTTCATCTACATAGTTGGTATCTTCCTCAAATAATTTAGAGAGTTAGCACAATTTTTACCACCAAATTTAGGTGGGAATTCAGTTCTGCTCTTTGGACTACCAAGATCAAGACATGCCTTTGTGCCCACTCTCTTGAGTACTCAGAGTGGCAAACTATGCATGGAAATATTATAAATAGTTCTGAGTGTCTCAATTTTTTTTATTTTTATTTTTTGCCAAAGTAGCAACACCCAACATTCTAAACCAACAACAAGCATTACTAAGAGGAACTTTTTGAAGCTGATGCTTGCTGGAATGAAGAAATGTTATCATTGACATGCCAAAATATTTCCTCAGAATTTCCTTTGGGGCTGTAAAATTTTGAGTTTATGAGTGAGAATCAAAAAGTCCTTAGATTCCATTTTGTTCCCCATACAGGCACTGCCTCTCTGACATCCATGACAAGTAGTTTCTCAGCTTCTGCTGGAAGATCATGGTAGTGATACCATGTAATTATAGTGCTATATAGTCGTGGGTAGAAAGAGTACGGTTTCAAATATTATTTCCTTTGGCCCCAATATCCTTATCAAATTGTGTATGTCCTCATACTCTGCTATAAAAATATGGTCATGGTATATATAACTGATACATCATGCTGCAATTTCAGTCCAATAAGTTTTACATAGTGAGAGAAGGGACTTCCCACTACAGCAAACACTTCATTGATGCAACATTAAAAAATGGTCGGTGGTTGTGTTGATACATGTTTAATAACTGGCTCTCCAGTTGGGAAAAAGACATGACTTTAATCATTTGCTGATTTCCAGGGTGTAAATACTTCAACCGTGGCCAGTTTCAAGCTGCCAATGTGATATGAACTGGTCTACAACATTCCTGAAAATTTAACAGTAGGCTCCTGAAATCAGGCATAAGTTGGTTGCAGCACAGCACTGGGATTGGTGTATTATTCTGGCCAAGAAGTCACAGAAGGTAGACTCTACTTCACCTTCTTACATGGCAAATTTAAAAATTTCTTAAAGATATTTAAAAATTAATTCATCAAATGAGATATATGTACATGGTAAAACATTCAAACAGTATGAGCAGTTATAAAATGAAAAGTAAAAGTCACACATTTTTATTATTGCCATCACTCCTTCTTTATCCTCAAATCCGTTGAAAAGAAAAATCTCCATAGGACGTTGAGGTGTTTAGGGGAATGGGTTTACCTGCCTTTAAAGAACATTACTTCTCTGCGGTAAGTGGTGACAGCATCAAAAGTCAAGTCAGGGTCACAGGCATGGGGGACAGTGGGTTTCTTTGGTTTAGCAGGTACCTTAGGCCGACCTTCGATAAGAAAAAAAATCCCACAGTGAATTAAGAAGGCATGAGGAAATACGCCCATGCAAGGATCTTACCTAAGTGAATATTTGCTTCACGATAATATTTCAAGTGATTTTCTCAACTTCCCTTCTGAAAAGCTTCCCATTTAGTTCACATATATTCAGATTTATAATTTAGCTCACCATAGATGGATTGGATTCCACTGATATCATCCTGAGAAAGTGGGTATTTGCTAGGATCCAGTGAGATATAATTTGGAAACATCAAGGCTGTTTGATCGTTGGAGTGAGAGAGCCCCAGTGAATGACCAAATTCATGAGCAGCCACAAGAAACAAGTTGAATCCTTAAAAAAAACAGGGAAAATATGAGTACATGAGTTGATCAAAAGGAGAAGGGTTGCATCTGAGATTAGAAAGTAACTAAGGGGAATGAAGAAAAGGCTTGCTGTATATATAGCAGATAATTCTTATAATATATGCACCATCATTTATCTGGGACATATTTCAATGCTAATACAGTCATGTATCGTTGAATGATGGGATACATTCTGATAAATGCATCAGGGGTGTGAACATCTTAGAATGTACTTGCACAAAACTAGATGGCACAGTCTACTACACACATAAGCTATACGGTAGAGCCTAATGCTCCCAGGCTGCAAATCTGTACAGCATGTTACTGTGCTGAATTACTGTAGGCAATTGTAACACAATGGTAAGTATTTGTGTATCTAAACATAGAAAAAGTACAGTAAAAATAAGGTACAAAAGATAAAAAATGGTACACTTGCACGGGGCACTTAGCATGAATGGAGCTTGCCTGACCGGAAGTTGCTCTGGGTGACTCAGTGAGTGAGTGGTAAGTGAAGGTGAGGGACTAGGACATCACTGTACACTACCGTAGACTTTACAAATACTGTATGCTTAGGCTACACTAATCTTATACAATTTTTTTCTTCAAGATTAAATTAACCTTAGTAAAGTTTTTTACTTTAAAAACTTTTAAATATTTTTAACTTTTGACTTTTCTGTAATAACACTTAAAAAGCAAATGCATTGAACTGCTATATAAAATATTTTTTATATTCTTATTCTATAGACCTTTCACTATTTTTAAAATTTTTCATTTTTTTTTTTTTACTTTTTAAACCTTTTTTTAAAAATAAAACACAAACACACCAATCAGCCTAGGCCTACACAGGGTCAGGATCATCAACATCGCTGTTTTGCACCTCCACATCGTATCCCGCTGGAAAGTCTTAAGGGACAAAAACACACGTGGAACTGTCATCTATGATAACAATGCCTTCTTCTGGAATACCTCCTGAATGACCTGCCTGAGGTTGTTTTACAGTTACCTTTTTTTTTTTTTTAATAAGCAGAAAGAGTACTCTCTATAATAAGGATAAAAAGCATAATATAGTAAATACATAAATCAGTAGCATAGTCATTTATTATCAAGTATTATTACTGTGCGTACTTGCACATGCTGTACTTTTATATGACTGGCAGTGCAGTAGGTTCATTTATACCAGCATCACTACAGACCCATTGTGCTATGACATCACTAGCTCCATCATGGTCTTAGGGGCCCTGTTATATACGTGGTGTGTCATGGCCTGAAACATTGCTCTACACGGTGTGATTGCAACTGGTATTAGTCACATCATGGAGAAATATAACCCAGAGTAAGCAAATGGCTTGACATCAGTGTCTCAGAAATGGATATTAAAAAAAATTAGAAGCCACCAGTTTTTAGTTGTCACCCAAGAAGACTGATGTCAGTGATAGAAAAAAAAGAATGGGGAGGACCCGAGACTCCACTGAGCCTGCTGCTTTGCTTGATGCACACGCTATTACTGTAGTCAAGTTTTGTGGGTTTTTTGTTGGAAAAGTATTAAAACTCTTTTAATGCCAGGCAGGCCCATTAAGAGAAATAAAATCAACTTACTTGGTTTGAGGGAATAAGTCAAATATAAGGATTAGGGTCTAATTCCTTCATACATGACCAAGAGTTAGACAAGGAAGGTCATGCTTTTAAATAGATCCTCTATGGGCCATGGAACCCGCCCATTATCCTTTAATTGCTAACTCAAAATTACCACTTCCCTAGAGTCTTCTTTCAATCATCAAGCATCAGATAACTTCTACCACTGGTACAACACAGAACACATTCTGCCTTATGTGGCAGGTGTGTGGGCTAAACCTTGTGTATCATACAGGATCCGAAGGGCTGAAAATTTCTAGTCCAACTTTAAGGTCCATAAAACACCTTGAATAGTTCCAGGCACATAGGGAACCCTCAGGCATTGTGGACATATGAAAGCATGTATGAATAAATGAAGAATGCTCTGATCATAGAAGGATTGGCAACTTTATGAGGGTGTTGTGTCTGATATTGAACACTTCCATCAATGTCATCGTGGAACATGGAAAATTGTGGGGAAATTGGGAAGTCTAGAGGTAAAAAGCTATTCGTTTCGGGGATTCTTTAGAATAATAAAATTTTATTCATGAAGAAAATTAGACTCACCTTCTGCATCCTTGGTCCAGTTTTCATCCTCATCGAAGTGAGTGTCACCACCCAGACCCAGACCAGGAGGAAAGGCATGGCCAAGGACTCCCAAGGGGCCGTCAAAATAACGAGGACACCGACCATGGACTGACACAGAATTCACGGGAGGGAAAAAAGATCAGCTTCCTTAAATCACCTGTGACTAAAAGTAGCACACTTTTCTCTCTATTGAAAACCTTACCGCGAGTCCTAAAGGCAATCATGATGTCTGCAGTCCCTTTGGAAATCTTGGTGAATGTCAGTGGAGTAACTTTGCTCCACACCGCTAAAGCATCTTGGATAGCCTCATCCACATCAGCTTGTGCCATATCTGGAGTGTAGTTCATTAGTCTTAAAAATTAATAAAAATAGAATGCATTCCAGCTCTATCCAGGAGTATACAAGGGGTGTTATATAACCATTGTTTCTTTTTTTTTTTTTAATTGAATTTTTCTTTTTTTTTTTTTTTTTTATTATTCCAGGGTATTGTGAGGGTACAAACATTATAGTTACACTTTATGTCTTTGCCTCACCCAAGTGCGGGTTAAAGGCATGCCCTTCCCTCCTTTAGTGCTCCCCGTGTCCTTTAGATGTAGATTTGCCCCCCCATCCCCCTAAGCCCTAGAGAGTATTTCTGCCATGTGATCAACCTAGTGTTGATCAGTTAGTACCAGTTTGATGGTGAGTACAAGTGGATCCAATTCTTCTGCTCTTGTGGTGCCTCACTTTGGATAATGGGCTTAAGTTTAATCCAGGAAAGTATAAGAGGTGCTAGATCACTGTCGTTTCTTATGATTGAGTAATATTCCATTGTAAGTGAGGTATCCCAAGAATAGAAAGACAAGCACCAAATGTATTCACCATCAAATTGGTATTAACTGATCAACACATAAGTGCACATATAAGAATAACATCTATTGGATGCTGGGCAGAGAGGAGGGGGAGGGGGAGGGGGAGGAGGGAGAAGGGGACGGGTATTTGCATACACAAAGAGTGCAATGCGCACCACCCAAAGAATGGACATATTTGAAACTCGGACCTGGGGGGGACAGGGGGCAAGGGCAACATACATAACCTAAACATCTGTACCCCCGTAATATGCTGAAATAAAAAAAAAAAAAGAAAAAAAATATCACCCTTAATCACCCAAAAAAAAATTAATAAAAATATATCAATTGCTGGTTATACATGTGTGCATGTACGCACATACCATAGAAATCATTTCTAGCTTATCCATCATGTGCTACAGTAACTTTTGGTATGGTGCTATCATCTTACATTCACATAGCATTTCATTTAAATGAAGTGATTTTACATATGCTATATAATTCAAATTTTTCATCTTCCCTATGAATCAAGGAGTAGTATACCACTTTAACAAAGGAGGCTGAAAGAAGTTAAATGCATTCCCAAAGATCACACCCTATGTGGGATAGCATTCATCTTGTGTATGTATTTGCTTATATATGAATGTATTATAAGTAAATCAAAAAAAGAATTGAGATTTATTTTCTTGACTGGCTTGTGGAAATCAGTCTTGGGCATGTGTCATATACTAAGAGTCTTATTCAAGAGCCACAAAGAGTAACTTGGGAAAAGATATTTCTCATGTGTATATTCCTTATCTTGCTAAACTCATTTTTATCTCAAGTCCTAAGACTCGATACGACGAAGGATGAACTATCACAAAGACCCTAGAGCTGTGGTCAACGACATTGGCTCTATCTCAGAACAAGGGCATGCTTCCTCCTCTTTCTGCCAATGAATCAGTCTCCTTCTCCTCGACATGTCTGAAGGAAACTCCATACTTCCCTCTGAAGTCCATCTGAGATTTGGCAGCTCACACATCCCTAATGTGAACTGGTCATGCTCCAGGGTCTCCCCTGTTTTCTCTCGAGTACACTTCATCCATGCCATCGAGCATCTGCAGTCAGATGGCAGTTTCTTGTCGTGAGCTTACATGAAGGTGGCAGAGACCAGAGATCAGAACATGTGTGCTGCATCCAGTCTCCTGATAAGAGCTGTGTAACCCTAGCTATGTTAAATATCCTTTTGTTTCAGTTTCTCTATGTTTAAGGTGGCCATAACTGTAGTGCCTACAGCACAGGTTTGTTGGGAGGACGGAATAAATGAAATCTATGAAGTACCTTGCACATAGGAAGGGCTCAGTAAAATAAACAGTTATTGTTATTGTTCCTTGAAGATTATATTCATGTTCCCTTGGATCAGGTGGAATAAGTTGCCGGAAGCATTACCTGTATGTGAGGTTGTGTTTTCTCCACCCAGGGAGAGTGTAGCCATATTGACCCACGTCAGGTACGCCACACCTGGCTGTCTTCATGATCTCAAGAGTGTCTGAGTCCAGTTTTCCAGTCACTGTCAATCCAAAAAATGCTTGCATTTCCTGAATTTTGCCATCAATGAGACTCCTGTTCTTGCTTTGAACAAGATGACTCCCTTCTATTTCAAGAGAGTAGAACTGGTTGAGATATGCCTGACCAAAAAGACAAAAAAAAGCACCGACTACAGGAGAGCAACTCTCCATCTCAGGATAAAACAAAATTGCCTGAAATCCTTTCGGCAGTAGAGACGGAAAAAAAAAAAAAAAGAAAATAATTAATGAGGGAAAGAAAGGTGGGAAGGAAGAAACAAGAAAGGAAGGGCGCAAAGAGGAAAGAAACGAGTCACCCTACTGCTTTCAATTTCAAAGAATTGGTTGATTTATGAGTGACCAGAATTAGCCAAACCACACAATCCATAAAACTCCAAACCTCCACAGAAGAAAATAAGTCTTCTTCTACCTGTTAAAGGATGACATATTTCACGTATTTTTGCTGTTACTTTCATTTTGGTGTTTCCTTGAAACAAATTGTAGAAGAGACAGGTAATTATCCATTTTGCAAATTTAGTTGATTTAACCAAATATGAAAAGTTAACTGGACTAATTTTTTAGAGGGACTCTCCAGAGCAATGTGTGTTTCACACATATAGGGGTTAGGGGCTCCAATTTGTAGTCCAGGTCCTCCTGGCTGTCTTGAAATGCTTTTATAGAGATCTCCACGCCTTGCAGGGATGTCCCTTTCTCCTCTCACTAAATATCCCTTCGCTCGTGACCGCTGCTCAAAGTTGTAGCAGATCCTGTCTTTTTTCCCCACCCTGCCCCAGCCCTCCGCCCCTCACACAGTTTCTGAATATTCTTAGAACTGGACAAAAGGAAAGCAGCTTCTTTTCACAAGGAAGCTCAGGACCCTTTTACAGAAACTTGCTGTCTTTTTAGGTCCTGAGAGAATCAATAAAACAAACTTCCAATTGATAGTCATTAATAACATGTATTGAAATAGTACCTGAGCCAGTTGCATGTCTTCTTCATTTTCCATCATTCGGTCTACAGGAAATGCAGAAGAAAATGTTATAAAGAACAAAAATAAAAGTAGAAGGCTCTTCATTCCTCTCTCTCTCCAGTTGAAGCCCAGTTCTATTTGCACAGAATTTAGAAACTAATAGTGAGACGTGGCATGAATGGTCTTGTATCATCATGTAATTAATAACAGAGAAGGACACTTGCCATGGTGTGTGTCATCATTTGCTTTTTTTTTTTTCACATTGACCTGATTTTGCAATCACGGTCTGCAATTGTTTAGTAAACACAGTTATCACTTGTTATTGAATTGAATATACTATGAAGTGAGCTCCAAGTTACTTTTCTCCTTGCAAAGCTGGACGTTTTTCCAGCCTTAAATTCCTGAGAATTTATAAAATAATTATCTTTTGAAGGAAATCTCAAAATATCTTGGTAGCGTGGTAACATGAAAAGGCAATTGAATCAGGAATCAGATGAATCAACTAAGGTAGAAATCAAATGTGTATTAAGCACCTAATAACTGCCTGTGATTGTGAGTACGGTCTTGGAGAATTGAGACAGAGATAGAGGCTACCGTAGGACAAAATGGAAGCAAGTGGCCAAATGCACAGAGCAGATGAGAAAGACTGAGAAGGGCCGAAAGGCAGACGGGTCACTGCTGATGTGTATGGCCCAGGGGTTCACGCAGGTAACACAGCTTGCACTGGGGCTTGCACTGGGGCTTGAAGAATGGGTAGGATTTGGATCACACAGAGGAAGGGAGAAGGCATGTGAGTGGAAAAGAGGCCATAGATAGAAGGTAGCTGATATAGCAGAAATGATCTGTAGGAAATGTGGCCTGACCAGAGCGGAGGTTTACGTAGACAGCTATGGGAGATGGGATGGAGGGTCTCGTGGAGAAGTTGGTTGACAGGGAAGATGAAGAACTCAAAGAAGGCATAGATTATGAAGGACTTTGAAGGCCAAAGTTAACATTAAAAGTTAAGGGATAGGTAGTGAGAGCTCTTTGGATTAATTTCTATTTTTTTCTTCTTGGGCCACTTTTAGATGAAGTAACACTATTAGTCATAGCCATGTCTTCCCCCTCACTTGTCCTCCTATTGTCTTCTACCAATTGTTAAAATTTTCTTCCCTCTCTTCCCAAATGTTAACTCCTCTAACTCAGAAACCTCTCTAAATCTTTTCCCTGTCATTCTGAATAGAATTGCAGTGACATAGCTAAAGAAGCTATTATAAATCCTAAGTAGATATAAAATTCCTTTGCATTTAAAGCTCATCCTGATTATAAATTCTATTTCAGAAATATTATTATTATTTGCTGTTATAATACATGTATACAGTTTAAAAAGTCTAACTGGCCTTGGGGGAAGAAGGGTGGTGGGGAGTAGGCAGACATGATCAAGATTTATATTATAACAGTATTGGTAAGTTGGTGTGAGTACATGCATGTTCATCATATTATTCTTTTATGTTTTTTAACTCTGAAATATTTCAGAACAAATTTTAAAAATAACAAAGTTACCAAAAAAGAAAAAAAGTTCAAATGGTGCTATCTTGTTTATAATGAAAACCAGCATCTCTCTGCCCCAACCTCTGACTCCTTCAAGTTCTGCTCGCCAGAGGCAACTTCTTTAAATTATTTTTATAATTTTTTCCCCTCATCTTAACTCCACATTTCCTAAATAGCATGCTTACGCTACTATGTATTGTGTTTTCAAAGTTAATCATTATTATTAACTTCTTCCTATGAAAGAGAAGGATTCAACACTCACCTCGCTTTCTCTTCTATTTTCCTAATTTGGTTAAAGTGAGGTTTTAAGTTAATGCAATAATCAGTGTATACGCAATTATGACTACGAAAATATTATTTGCAGGAGAGCCATGTAGTATACTATTATTACATCTCCTTTCTTGTATATTTTTTTCTCTGAAGTTGGTAGTTGAATCGATTTTTATTTGCTAACTCTTTCCCAAATTCTCCAACAGAACTCTTAACTTTTCTCAGAATAATCAAACATGACAGGAAATCTAGCAATACCATTTTTCCCCCCGAAGTTATCCCTCTGAGACACTTTGCTGGCCTTCTCCAATCTGGGTCTGTTGCGAAGCTCTCATCCTCTCACCAACCAGAGAATTCCTGTTGTGTCTCTGTTTAGATCTCTGGTCCCTGGATTTAATTTCTACCCATTTCTTGACTTGCACCCTTGTTTTGATGGAACATATCTCTTAGGAGTTTTCTAAGAAATAATGTAGGGAAAATGAATATTTTGAATCTTTTCATGCCTAAGAATGTCCTCTCCTTTATCCCATCCTCATATGTGATTGAGAGTATGGCTGAATATAGAATTTCAGGCTGAAATAAATTTCCCTTAGAACTTTGAAGGTACTGTTCCATTATTTTCCAGAACTAATGTTGCTGTTGAAAAGTCTTTTATTCTGATTCTTCATATTTTTCTTTTTTCCTTGTGAAAAATTTTGGAAATCTTCTATTTACTCAGATATTCTGAAATTTTATAATTATGTCTCTTGCTGTGGGTCTTTTTGTATTCATATTTTTGGGCAGGAAGTATGCCCTTTTGTTATGGAAACTTCAATGCAGGGTAAATTTCCTATATTATTTCTTTTATAATTTCTTTCCATTCTCTTTTTTCTTTCTCTTTCTGGAATGTACATCTGCTGGACCTCCTAGATTGAGTCTTTATGTTTCTAATACATCCTTTACTATTTTCCACCAACTTTACTTTTAAGCTCACTATTTTTTTATTTTAGTTATCATGTTTTTAATTTCCAAGAGTTCTTTCCATTTCTGAGTATCTTTTTACATTTTTTTACTTTTTTGCATTTTGTTAGTGTTTTTTGGATGGAAAAATGTACCTTATTTTTAAATAACATTAATGCTAAGTATCCTTTAGTTTATTTTGATATTTTCTTTTGCTCACAGAATTGTTTCTACTGACTCAAAATTTTTATTTTTGCCTCTGTGTTTTGCATTGGAATCTATTTTCAAATGTTTGGTGACTCTATGCTGTGCAATCTGCTTAAGAATGAGAGATAAGAAAGCTGACTGGAAGCTCTCATGTGCATGGGCAGGCTGGTGAATGGATGACTTTCACTGTAGGGAGGTGGGGCAGGTCCTAGATATTTCATATACTGTGCTAGCCAGGATGAGATTTAGTTGACTATAATAGAAAAACTCAAAATAACAGATGCTTAATAACATACAAATTTATTTTTCCCTCACATAAATAAAGCCCAGATTTGGAAGCCCAGGGCTTGTATGACAACTCTGCCTCATCAGGGACGTAGACAACATCGACCTTACTACACCACTCTCTTAGTGCAATGCCTCCTGGTCCAGAGAAAAAGCAAATTCCTAGTCTCTTTCCAGAAGTCCATACGACATTCTGCTTACACATTTTGGCTAAATTAATTTGGAAAATTAAACACATGGCCACATCTAGCTGTAAGCAAGGCTACAAAATGTAGTCTTTTAGCTGGATGCATTACTACCTCAAATGAAATTGGAGCCTCATTGCAGAAAAGGAAGTGGAGAATGGATGGTAGGGTAGGTAATTAGCAGCCTCTGCCATATTGAGATTTCTCCAGTGTCAGTATCTGTAAATCTTTTCTCCCCCCCTCTGGAGTTGATGAGTTTCTCCAGAGAAGATTTCTCCAATTTCCCATAAGTTAGGTCTGCCAGTAACAAAGCTGTAGCTTCTGATGCCTATATCACATCCCTTCAGCACACCTCTGATTTAGTTGCAGCAGCAGCAGGCAGGCTTGTCTACCTAACCTTGCTCTGACAAAGTCCAGCCTTAAGCACATGCTGTGTGTCTTTCTGCTTTCTGCCCTGGACATTGAGATGCGATAGAGCCTGTAAGGTCAGCATGAGAATACAGCCCAGAAGTGTAAGGGAGTTAACACCCTCAGGGACAATCCTCACCCGATGGGGGATGAGAACTGAAAGACGGGTGTTCCAGCCCCATCCACTGGGGACGTGAACACCTGGAAGGGACTCTGTGCCTTCTCAGGAGCCCAGGGTAGAATTGGGCCCCAGTTGCCCATGGCAGAAACCTTGCTAACACACGCTTGCATTGGCTTTCCCTCCTTCTCTGTTTCGCTCTGCTTGCTACCTCATTCTTGCTTCATGGGACCATTTTCTGAAAAACATAATTGCTGAGATCTTGACTTAGATTATGCTTTTGAGGAAACTCAGCCTAAGATAAAAACAAATCTCATTATTTAAATTCTAGGTTTAGATTCTTACATCTTTTTTTTTTTTTTGAGACAGAGTCTCACTCTGTTGTCTGGGCTAGAGTGCCGTGGCATCAGCCTAGCTCAGAGCAACCTCAAACTCCTGGGCTCAAGCGATCCTCCTGCCTCAGCCTCCTGGGTACCTGGGACTACAGGCATGTGCCACCATGCCCAGCTAATTTTTTCTATATATTTTTAGTTGTCCGGTTTTCTATTTTTAGTAGAGACTGGGTCTCGCTCTTGCTCAGGCTGGTCTCGAACTCCTGAGCTCAAATGATCCTCCTGCCTCAGCCTCCCAGAGTGCTAGGATTACAGGCGTGAGCTGCCGTGCCTGGCCAGATCCTTACATCTCTTGTACTCACATAAAACATCAATGTAACAGCCAGAAAATGCCACCTGTTGTCAAGAAGAGAAATTTTTTTAGAAAACAAATAACTCTTTGAATTCTTTATTACACTTCATATTGTAACTCACTTCCTATGACTCTGTGAAATATGGTTAAAGAAATGATATGAATTCAGTTCTCATCTCAAACATGTATAGATGAGGTTTGGGTCCAGAATCTATCATAATTAGCTAGCACAATTAGCAGATAAGAAGATGAATCTGTCATTTTCATGCATGTAAAAACCTATATCTTAGGAAGTTTTAGAAAACATAGTAGTCTGAAATTGACTCTACTACTAAAAATGGAATATACAGTTGTTATAGGTCCTTTTGCACTTATTACATTGATGCAATGAATTGTCCATACATCTCTTTCACTATCCCTAGCACAGCACCTAGAACATATAGGCAATTAATTAATTCTTGCTGACTAAACGAATGGAATGAGAGTATATACTGGTTTCTGTTTTCTCATCTTGTAAAATAATTGAGAATAATGTGCTGATATCTTTGAGAGAATTTTTGAAGACATTTAATATTTATAAAATATTTCACAAACTGTGAAATAGTATCTAAAAGTTTATTATTGATATTCAGACAAGGAAATAAATGGCTGAAAATATATGTAAAATTTTCTATTCCTTTTTGTACTTTAGATGAACTATGTGGTAGTATTTTAGGAAATTATAAGTAGATCACAAATCTGTCATTTAAAATAAAAATCTTTAATTTGAACTCATTTAATAGGTAATTTTTGAACCAGAACAAGATGGCAAATTAATTATCTGTAGGATTCAAAAGCTTTAACAGAGAAAGAAAATAGGATGTGCTAGTGAGAAATTTATTTTATAATCTGTGTATTTATTGTGTAGTAAGCTGCATTACATTCTAACGACTGCAAATATGACATTATAATGATTTTGATGCCTTGACTAGATATTATGGTCTCTTAGTTCCTAAAGTTCTTAACAGAAAAGATCCATTAACCAATTTATGCATCTAAGCTCAGCTTAATGTGATTTAATGAGAATCATTGAATTTTGTGCAGTAAATCCCAGTTATATGTAGAGCGAGCCCTCCTGAGTACTCCAGGAAATAAAGAACCAAGGAACAACGGATCCAACTAGCCCATTTGTTTGGGCTCGAGGAGAGAGCAGGGAGGAGGCAGCAGGGGCAGCGGTACCTCTCCTTTTTGCTGCTCCCCTGGTAAGATGCCCAATAATCCTTAGTGGCATTAAACTTTGGCATTCCGTGTTGATTTATTTTCTTAAGTGCAGACGTACTGTGTTTAATACATTGTGTCTAGGGCTGCTGTAATAAAGTACTACAAACTTGGCGGCTTAAAACAAAAGAAATTTGTTCTCTCACAGTTCTGGAGGCTAGAAGTCCAAAATCTGCAGGTCTCAGTGGGGTCATCTTCTCCTCTGTAAAGGTGGTGAGGGACGATCCTTCCTTGCCTCTCTGATGGTTGATGGAAATCCTTGCCATTCCTTGGCTTGTAGATGCGTCACTCCAATCTCTGCCTCTGTCGTCATGTGGTCTTCTCCCCTGTGTGGCTGTCTCTCCTCTTCTTATAAGGACATCAGTCATGTTGGATTTAGGACCCACCATAATTCAGTGCAGCCTCATCTCAACTAATTACATCTGCAAAGACCCTGGCTCCAAATAAACTCACATTCATAGGTACCTGGGGTTAGAACTTCAATCTATCTTTTGGGGGGGACACAATTCAACCCATAACATGTATCATCCACATTTCTTTCCAAGAGTGGAAAATAACACCACGTTTTTTTTTGTAAAGGTAAGGGATACTGTCTATGTTGTTTACAATCATTACCTCTAACCAAAATCCAGCGCTAAACTGCATGTAGCAGATATGCATGAGACATGTTTAAAGAGACTCAGGAATATGTACAGTCAGATAAGCAAGTCATGAAACAGTGAATTTTAGAAATCAGATAAGTAAATAATGAAATAGTGAACACTGAGGTGACCAAAAAAAGTTTACTTTCCATCTCTTTGTGATGGAATCACTAACCTAAGACGGAATGTGTAAGAACTGAATCAACCTCTGCAAACAGTGGAATATTCCAAACACATTTTTTACTGAGGACAGGCCTAATGAATACAGCGATGGAAAACAAAATTACTTAGTATTGAGAAAAGTATAAATACAACACGATGTAATGTATACACAAGTTGGACTTCCATATTCAGAAAATGGATACAAGCACATTTGATTTTGCTTCAATTTTATCTACAGTTAAGCCATTTATTGCTTCTGTCAATCCTAGTAATTCTACGAGTACTAAGATTAAATGCATAATATCTTGGTCCATGGAAGAAAAGGAAGAAGTCTATAAAAAAAGAGATAATTTATTGAATTAGTTTATAAAAGATCTCAGATGTCTTCAATTAAAAAACCCTGCCCCTGTTCCAATATAACATTCAAATGAGAACATGCTATTTTACAAATATAAACACATTTCCTGGGGTTTTTCTCCTGCTTACCATCCTGCTGGAAAACTGCATCAACTCTACTTTGTATTCCTGGAAAGGCACTTGATATGCTTTGGGGATAACCTGGGTCCATGGCTTGTCTTTGATTATCATATCTGATAAAAACAAAATGTCACATGATTTAAGACCAATACAGAATGTCACAGTTCTCTTTTAGTAGTATATACTTTACAAAGTCCCTTCACACATGTTTTCTCATTCAGTTCTCACAATGTCCTAGGATTAAGAATGATTAACTTCTCTACCTAAGGGTACATACTTATTTTGGGGTATCATTAATTCTAAAACAGGCTTCTGATTGCTGACACAATGTTATTTCCAAAGAGAAGAGCTTATATTTTCTAAGGCTTGTACTTAATTGGTACATAGTATATTGTGTGCATATGTGTGTGTGTATAAATGTAAATAATAAATACAACTTGGGTAGAAATTCTGCAGGCTATCTGGATAACATTTGCTTGAGTATGTCAGAATTTAACTCATACATGAGAACTACCTTAATTCTTTTTGCAACTCACTCTAGTGCTTTATTAAAGTTCTCTCTGTCTCATGACACAGAATCCTCAATATCGAGCCAGCATTTTAATTTAATAAAAATGAAATTTTCAAAAGCCACGGTAGCATCAATCATCTTGCGAAAAAGAATACATTCTCACTAAAACCTGTTGAAGACCACCTAGATTTTTAAAACCTTCAGATACTTGATTTTTACTGGTTTATAGACAGGGTGGAGAAACACAGATTTCAACCTGTAATTGAAAAATGGTTTACCTTACCTCCAGAATTGGTCATTGACAAAGAAGTACGTTTTTTCTCTGTAGGAAACAGCTGCATCGATTGCTTGGACCGTGCTTGGGAAGCCGTAGTTTGATATACGCCTGGGATATCCTTGCCGAATGTCATAGCCACTCAGAGCCCAGTATTGATTGCCTGTCAATGATTCAGGTTATGTGTTAAGTAAAATTTTTCCATTCTTATAAAATAATATATATCACTTCTTGATCTTTGCATAAATTCATCATGGAAATGAAAGTGGAACAAATGGTCTTTAAAAGTTGAAGGAGTTAGAGTTAAGTTCAGGGGGGCTATCATGGTCCTAATCTTTCCCCAGTACCTATAAAAAAATTCAAACTTCTTAGCCTGACATTCGGGACCCCGTAATGTGATGTCTTAGCTCATGTGACTTCTCTACACAAACTACAGCCTTGAGGAATCTTAGGAAATTATAATTGGAATGAGGATGGAGGAAGACTGAAGACGGTCGGTCTAATGTGGTCTTCTCATTTTGTTGGTGGGAAGACTGAGGCCTGAATAGAGTACAGCCTGCTCAAGTTCACACAGTAGTTAGTGGCCAAGATGGGCCCAACCCTGGGCTCCTGGCAACAGCCTGGCTGGCATAATGCTCTCATTGGCTCACCTCTTCCGAACATGGGAGCTACCACAAAGAAGTCCTGCCCCCTCCTTTCAGGTGCAACTAAGAAAAAATGAACTCTTTAAGATGTTACCTTTAAATAGGAAGACTAGGTCCCTGTCAAAATCCTCATAAGCAGCCTGTATACCATTTGGCAGGGATGGCCAGAACAGAGAAATAAAATTGAGTTCGACATTTCGTAGCTGAGGATGTCTTCTCCAGAAGTATCTAATGGACAAGAGAAAACACACACATACACAAAATATTCTAAGTAGGTGGTTTTTGTGATTCTCGGGCTAGTAATGGCCCTTATAAGATTGCTGGGAGGATATAACGACATGGGGAATGCAAAGTCTAGCAGAGCGACCAGCACAAAGCTAAGCTTTATGGTGATAATTGTCCATCTGGTAAGTACTTTCAGTTTTCAGAGGAGGCCACAGGAGCGATCTTACTTGATTACACACGGCATTGCCCCTGCCTCACACATTGTATCTTTCATTGTTGCTCCCACTAAATGTTGAGAATATATAGCCATCGACAAAAGCAACAGCAGTACACTCAGCCCGTGATTGCACAATCACAAAATAGCCAATAGAAAAACAAAAATGTCAGTGAGATGGTTTGCCACACAGCTGGGTAAGTGGTGGTTTCCATTTACTTGGCTGATTTTGGGTGGAATTGAATGGTGCTTTGGTGTCAAGTAAATTCAGCTATGGGGTTCCCAAGCAGTTGTAGCCCATGTCCTTTTATATCACCACCGACATCTGAATGTGTGTGAGTGTCTTAGGTGTTTTTTCCTTTCCTAGGTGTTTTGAGTTATTCAGAAAACACTAAAAATTCCAATGAGATGCATAGGTACAGAATTCAAAGGAAAAGGTCAGTAGCATATGGTTAATTAGAATCCACCCTTAAAGTATGCCAGTAAGAGAAATCAAAAGAAGAATAGTTCAATTTTATACTTGTCTTTAAAGAAAAGTATTTCTCCACGGAGTGTGGCGATAGCATCAAATGTCAATCTGGGGTCACAGGATCTGGGTGTGCTTGGTCCAGTAGGTTGTATAGGGTTGCTTGAAGGTCCTGGGGGGGGGAAAAAGCCTTTTTATAAACATAAGTCCAGTGTGACTCTTAGTGTACTGAAGACACTTCTCAGAAAGGCGAGGGGTCTTCACGTGTAGAGAAATTCTACCAGGCTATCCCACAAGGTATTAAAGTAACTGCACATTTGGCCCTCTTAAAGTTTTTGTTTGTTTGTTTTTTAAATAAGAGTATTTATAGTTTTCAGGATCAATTCCAAGTTAAGTTGTGAAGTAAAGAAATTTGAATTTTGTGCACCTGCTTAAATTCTAATCCAATCCTTCTCCCCACCTTGTGGCTCCTCTTTCTACTTTTTTGGTCACTCAATGTCCACTTCCTCCTTCCCCACCAAAATCCATTTTCAGGAAAGGATCTGATATTGGTCTTTTACCCTATAGCATAAATCTAGGTTTACTTGCAGCAATATCCTTTCTACAGGTGTTTGCATTTGAACCTGCTCTCTCATTGTAGGATGAAGGGCTGTACTAATAGTTAAGAGAATTTAAAACACTGGTGAGCAAAGGAAGGACATGTTGCCAGGTGTGCGGGGAGCGGGGGAAAGCATTGGGGGTGGAGATGGCAAGAGGAGGGCTCATCATTCCTGAACTGCCACTGTCACAGAAAATGCCCTGGTTGTGGTACTTTGGCAGGCTTGACTCGACGGTGCTGTCCCACTGGAGGGGGAGAGCACTTTCCCCAATTGCACTCTGCTCCACTCCACTCTCTCTCATTCTGTTCTATTTCACACCACGCTTTTTTAGAGCGTAGCAAATCCCTTCTCTGGTTGCACCCACTAGAAAGCAGGAGGGCAAGAGAGCAGAGAGATGCCAGGGTCTAACCCAGGCAGTACTTCTTATGACAGGGCAAAAAAAACCCACACCAATCCCTGAAAAGTATCAGCAATACTTTTGAAAAGTATCAGTAATTTTTTAAAAAATGTATCTTCCTTCTATACTCCACTTCCATTCCCCTCCTTCTCCCACAGACAAGTATTTTAATATGTTCACGCTCTACTTTTTGTTTGCGTATTTCTTGAACATGCCTAGCTTCGTCTATATATGTTTTAGATCTATGTAGATTCATACATTGTATAATTTAATTAACATTATATAATATATATCATTCTGTTTCTTTTTCACAAAGCACAAAGTTTTAAAGATCCCTCTGTGTTGTTGCCATCTGTGCATCTAATTCCGTGCTTATTACTGCTGCACATTACTCCATGGTGGGCAACCACCACATTTTACCTGCATATCCTCCTCATGATAATCCCCGCCCCCCGTGCCCTCTAACTGCCACCACCACAAATAAGACTGCAGTGACTATCCTTCACATGACCTGTACATGGACGGCCCTTTATAGACCTGTGTGAGAATTTCTTTGAGAAACACATCTAAGGAGTAGGATTGGTGTAGGAAAAGGAACAGTCGTGTCTTTTTAGAATATACAAAATTGGAAAGCATAAAAAAGGAGGAGGAAAAAAATCCCCACCGTTCAGAGACAATGACTGGGAAGCATGTGGTATGTGGCGTATTTCTTCCTAATGTTTCTCTGAAGGCAGCAATATGGGCTCACCCCACCCCCCGGCCTCCTTTGCTAATGCTATATTACTGGGGACTTTCAGAGTTCAATTTGAGCTTGCCCAGAGGACAGACCGGCAAGAAGGGCAAAGGGAGAGAGACTCAGATCCTGGGCTTGTTGACCTACCCCCAGGTCCCACGTACTGTTCTATTCTTTAGCTGACCTTACCATAGATGGCCTGAATGCCATTGATGTCATCCTGAGGGAGTGTGTAGGTGCTGGTTTCCCTGAATGCGTAGTTGGGATACATCAAGGCTCCGGGGTCAGAGGAGTGAGCGAGACCCAAGGAATGGCCGAATTCATGAGCAGCAACAAGAAACAAGTTGTAATCTGAAATGCAAGCATGCGTGATGAATGTCTCCATGTGGATCCCAGGGTGGTAGAGATATGACCTCAAGGAACACAACCTCGGAGCTAAAGCTGCCTGGGGAAACAGCCCTTCCCATACCTGTCTTTTTTGTCTTCCCTTTAGGTAACTGAGGAAGTGAACTTGGGAGAAATAAAGATACCAGTCACAGGTGGGGAGTGTGAACTTCTCATCAAATTTTAGGACCATGAAAAGCTGCCCTTATTCCAATTCCCACATTTTATGGATGTGGATCTGAGGCTTGGAGAAATGATGGCAGAGCCATGGGTCTCAAGACTCGAGGAATCCTTCTCCTCTTGTGCTCCACACCCAGGGTCTCAGACCCTCAGCCTCATTAGTGGAGTCTCAGCAAGTGAGTAGTTAGAAAAGAAGCTGCCAGGCAGCATAGGAGCTGCAGATGCAGGGCTGGCTCACGTTGGCGTCCTCACTGCCCATAGCCTAGCACTGGCTCTTGCCTGTTTGCTCTTCCCTCTTCTCCAAGCAGTCTAGGAATTTTCCACTGGAGAGAGACAAACCCTGGGTCTTATTGCTCCCTTTCCCTATCTTTTAACTTCCATGATTGTAATGCCTTTCACAACTGGGAACTTAAAAACTTCCAAGGATCCCACTTCCTGTCAGATAAAGCCCAACGTTCTTTCCCTGGCCTTCAAAACCTCCCCCACGTGGCTCCAGCAGATATCTGAGGGCTCGGCTTCTGTTGAGAATCCTTCAGTCCAGCCAGTCTACCTGCCACCTCACACATACACTGTGCCTGTTCCTACATGACTACTTTAAAAAATAATAATAATCATACTTGTAGAGTACCTACCACATGCTAGGCAGTGTAGTATTATTTCACCCTCACAACATTTTTCTGAAGTTTTGTTAGCAACACATTTACATTAAAGGGTCTGGGGTCAAACCCAGGTATAATAGCAAGATCCACACTCTTATCAAAATGGTCAACTTTCTGTTGATAATTAGCCTAGTAAAATTCTAACCATGCTCCAAGACTTCCTTTTTTATCACCACATGTGTTCGTAAGTGCATTTCAAAAACCATCTTTGAGTGCCTCGAGTACTGTTTGAAGGAATGGTTGGGTGCTGTGGTTCTCTTCTCTCCAGGAGGACATAGTCTTGAAGGGGAAATATGTGTGCAAACAGCTTGAATGCTTGGAATAATGAGAGAGAACAGTTAAAGAAAGAGATACAAAGATTGTCAGAATTCTGTGGTGAAATTCTCATTTCTAGTTGAAGACAAGATAGAACGTAGCCTTTGACATAACATGGAAAGATGAGAGATTTCCAAAGGTGGTGCTTGGGGCAAGGAGAGGAAGCAATGTGAGCAAACGTAGGAAAGATGGAAAGTACAGGGTGTGATCTGGAAACAGGGAATGTGCAACATAGCTGGTGTATATTAAATATGGAGACAAGTCAAGAAAGATGAGTGGGGGGGAAGTCACCTTCAATGCCAAGTGAAGTATTTGAACATTATTTGGTGCAGAATATGTAAGCATTGAAACTTGAAAGCAAAAGAGTAGTATAATCCGAAATGGTCTTTCCAAAGACAAACTCTGCTGCAATGCTAGCAAAAATTAGAAGGAGCAGAGATTGGAGATGTAGAATCCAGTTAGGAATCTGGATCATTAGTTTCAGTAAGAGGTAATCATCTGAACTAGTGAGGGAGGCAATAGGAATATAGAGTATGGAGAGTTGCTACTTATTCTTGGGCATACACAACTCCTAGCACAGAGACTTAAGTAGAATAGACACAGTGTATATGCTGAGAATATGGTGGAAAGAACAGGTGCCAAGCAAAGTGCCTTTTCTATTTCAGAAAAGTGCTCTCCGGCATATAGTTACCCCATGGCCTAGTGAAGTACCACGTGGTCTGGATATACCCTTGCTCAGCCTCTTTTCTTCCCTTTGAGAAGCCCAGCCCTTCTTAGTCTGATCCTTCTGAAAGGAGCGGTTTGCTGCATAGGAACATACCACTGAAAAAGAGCTCCATGAAGATGAAATAACTACATGATGGAGAATGTGGCTACTCTTTTATTTTATTTTATTTTTGAGACAGAGTCTCACTTTTTTGCCCAGGCTAGAGTGCCGTGGCGTCATCCTAGCTCACAGCAACCTCAAACTCCTGGGCTCAAGCAATCCTTCTGCCTCAGCCTCCCGAGTAGCTGGGACTACAGGCATGCGCCACCATGCCCGGCTAGTTTTTTCTATATATTTTCAGTTGTCCGATTAATTTCTTTCTATTTTTTTTTTTTTTAGTAGAGACGGGGTCTCGCTCTTGTTCAGGCTGGTTTCGAACTCCTGACCTTGAGTGATCCACCCGCCTCGGCCTCCCAGGGTGGCTACTCTTTTCTAAATAGAATAATTTCTAAATGAATTTCTAAAAAATTGAAGAATAGGCCCTTTCCAAACATCATTAAATTTCAGAATATTAAAAGACCTTAAAGCAGTGATCAGCAAACTTTTTCTGTAAAGGGCCAGATAGTAAATATTTCAGGCTTTGTGGGCCAAAGGATCTCTGTTGCAACTACTCAGCTTTACCATTGCAGAGTGAAAGCAGCCATGGTGATACATAAACAAATGAATGTGGCCCTGTTCCAATAAAACTTTAGCTATTCAAACAGAGTTTGGGCAGGATTTGGTCATGGTCTGTAGTTTTCTGATCCCTGCCCTAGGAAGTAAGGTCAGTAATTAACTTCAGGATTTTTTAAAAACCTAAATTGACTTAGAATCTTGAGGTAGAAAAAATTTCAAATGATCAGTTTGTATGAGTCTGAAATTTTATAATAACTTGGGTGTGTGTGTATGTGTGTGTGTGTCCGTGTGTATTATAGTGTGGAAAAGATTAATTCAGAAGCTGCATGTGGACATAACCTTGGCCAACTTACTGTCGGAGTTTGTGGTCCACGTTTCTTCTGCATCAAAATGAGCATCTCCTCCAATACCTTGGCCTGGTTGAAAGGCGTGAGCAAGGATTCCATTGGGTCCATCAAATGGAGAGTTGTCACCATGATCTGAAATAAAACAATTTGTGCTGAGTCCTTGCTGAGTTTCAGGTTAGCCAAGGAGGCAAAACTGAGCAGGACTGCTTTTCCTACCTTTTAGGAAAAAAGCAATCTTGATGTCTGCTTCTCCCTGTGAGATTCTGGTGAAGGTGAGAGGTGATGTGTCACTCCAGAGTTTAAAGGCCCTCTCAATAGCTGTTTCCACTTCAGCCTCTGACAATTGGTTGGTATAGCTTATAATTCTGCAAAATGAGAAGGTGCGTGGAGGGTTTGTTATGGTTTAGAACAGTAGTCTATCAACAGATTGAGTTGTTCCATTTTGGAGAGAGTTGCATATGTGATCTGCTACCACTGGAGAGGGTGTAAGGAGGGCATACAACCCTCAGGGCAGAAGACAGACGTGGGTTCTGGATAAGTTTCTAAGTGTCTTTAAACCTCTATTTCCTTATTCATAAAAAAGAAGATAATAAAATTGCATTCCTCTTATAGGGCTGTTATGGGGATTAAATACATGTAAAACATTTAGTTCACTACTTGGCAAATATTAATAGTAGGATTCCACAAATATTAGAGATTATCATTATTATTATTATCAAGGTGTATGAAAGTGGGGCCAAATTCTCTCCAGCAATGATTATGTATTTTAGGGGTCCTAAAGTGAGTCCTTAAAGAGATAGCCTAACTTTGCCACAGTTCTCATTAGATAGTTGGAGAAGGAAGACAAATGGCAGGCTTTGGAGTGAAAAGAACCCTTGGAATCTCTACCCTTGTGTTCTCATACTCATTCACTATTCACACGCCACTCATTCACTATTCATAACCTGCAAGGGTAGGGATCTTTATCTATTTGCCCCTACTGTATACTAAGTCCTAGAACAGTGTCTGGTATATCATAAGAGCATAATCAATACTGGCTGAATGAATGAATGAATGAATTCTGAAACTCTAAAAATATCACCTGTAGGTTAGGTTAGTGTGTTCCCACTTGGGGTTTCCTGGCGTTATCATAAATTCACCACTGTCAGGCACTCCACAGCGGGGCTTTTGCATCACCTCCAGAGTTTCCGCATCTGGCTTCCCTGTCACGTTCAACCTAAAAAATTGCTGCATTTCTTTAAGCTTTTCAACAGTCATACTAGGGCTGTTCTTCCTTGCAGTCCGATATTGGTTGCTTGGTAATCGATAGAACTTTTCTAGGTAGTCCTGGACAAAGACAAACACACAAGGGGCCTTGCTGTGAAATGATCTTCAGTTCTTTGGGCATTTTGCAATCCTTTCTAAGTTATTGCAGAGGTCAAGCCAGAACTAATAATCTAATAGCCACAGGAACAATAACACAAATTTTTAGGTTGACTTTGAGAGAACAATGCCTATTAGAAAGAATAGTCCCTCGTCCCTCCATTCAGTGCTCCAACCAATGGTCATGCATATGCAGGTGGCTGCATCTGGTCAGCTTCTGGTGAGGGCCTTGTGTTGTATCATAACACGGTGGAGAAGTGGAAGGGGAAGTGGGTGCATGCAAAAAGGGGCAAAACACGAGGGGTGTTCTTGCTTTATAACAACCCACTCTCTCAATAACCAATCCAGTCCCACAAGAATGAGAACACACTCCAGAGAGAATTAATCCCATCCCACAAGAGTAGCATTCATTTCTCTTAACAACTAAGCACCTCTTAAAGGCCCTACCTCCTAACACTGTCACACTGGAGACCAAATTTCCAACACGTAAATTCTGGGGGCCACCCTCAAACCATAGCAGTAGGTGACACAGAACAGGGCACGCACTTTGAGATCAGACAGGTTTGGGTTCAAATCTTAGCTCTACCATGAATTATCTGTGAGTACTTGGATACATTATTTATCTGATTTAAGATTCACTTTTGTTTCTGAAATAGAAATAATAATGCCCCCCCTCACAGGGTTGTTGTGAGGATTAAATGAGATAATGTTTGTGAAATGCCTAGCAAGGTGCCTTTCACAGAGTAAGCACTCAACGGACTTTTGCTATTAACCCAGGAGTTACTTACTATTACCATTGTAAGAGATACCCTCCGAAAAAGGCAAAAAGAATGACAATTTTCTAAAACTGTAATGCTAAAAAAAAACCCGTGCCTGAGAAATTTGTGACAGCATTACCCTGTGTTTCTTAAAAATTTGGCCTGACTTTAATACTGTGAAACAATGGTAAAAAAACTATTGGTTCTGCTTTTATAATGCCTCCAAAAGTTTGTAAACGGTTCACAGTCTGGTGCTGGGAAATCTGATTACACTAAGAACTGATTTTCTAGTTCATTATAATCACCCATCCTCATGTTCTCTTCTACACACAAAATTTTTGACTGCAGAAAAATGTCCATATAGGAAATACCATATAGTAACTGAGTTGCAGATATACTGGAAGGGAAAATCTTAGGTAAGTAGAAAGAAAACCATTTAGTTTTGTAAATAAAATCATTCCTTCTAAAAGGGTTTGGTTCACAGCTGGAGGCAGCTCTACGGCAGTATTTTCCCAGGCTTTGACGAGTTCCGCTTGGTTTCATGTTCAACTTTTAGACGGCCCAGTCCTTGCCAGCTTGGAAACCTTCAAATCACTAAAGGATATGTTCGACCTCAAGAAAATCACCTAGATAATCTCTTTCAGCCTGTTTTAACTAACAAGAAAACAATCCACACAAGTTCCTAATAATCAGTAAATTAAGCTAATTAACCAAACTAACCTAATTGATAGTTAATTTACCTGAACGATTTTTGCATTTTTCTCTTCAGAAGGTACAGGAAAGGCCTTGGAAAGCTCCATATGGAGTAACAGCAGAAACGGAAGTGTCTTCAGACAGAACATGACCTTTTCTTTAAACTCTACCCTTCCTGGTCTCCTTTCTGCCCCTCTGGGTAGGGCCCTTGCCCTGGAGAGTGCCCTGAGGGTCACAGCACCCCCTGCCACTCACTGCTCTCTTCTGGTCCCTTTTAAAGCCGTGTCTAGAACAATTGCTGCATCAGGAATATGAAGCAACACAGGCCAATTACACCCTGACAGTTTTGCAACTTTATAATGTGATTTAGTACCCTTAAATGGGGAAATCTTTCAACAGAACCTTGCCTTTGGGGGTTTAGTTAACAAAACTGTCTGATCAAGGAAAACAGGAACCTAATTCTGAAGTTATGAGTGTACATTTTCTGACTGTATAAGATACTGAGGCTGTGTTAATTTATGAAAGGAAATATTGTTAGATTAGTGGTAGGGATCTTGGGACCAAGGAGCCTAACTAGAAACTCTCTGTACTTATCCGCCTGCACTACACGTAGGGAGATTGGGTGCTTGAGTGTGTTATCACAAGCGGGCTTTGTGTGGGGCTCCCAGGGCAACTTCTGGAGGCTGTGGCTCTGGCATCAATGTATTAGAAAATTCCCAATCTTCAAGCTGGATTTTACACAGAAAAGACAAAAAGAGCAATGCCGGTGATGATCATAAACATTTGCTAAATATTGATGATGTCCCAGACATTCATACGGTACATATATTACCTCAATCATCCTCACGCAGCCTCAAGAAGGAGATGCTATTATTTATCTCCATTTTCCAGAGGTTTGGATGACTTGTGCAAGTCACATGCTTAGTTAGTGGAGGGGCCAGGACTCAACCCTAAGGGTATGGTTAGAGACACTGAACTGGGAGATACCTCAGGCTCTGTGTGATGGTTTCCCATTTGAGTCCTGGCTGGCCCACAGTGGGACAGTAGCTCTAGGCCTGCAACAGCTGGGATACTTCGGCTTCTATTCATGGAGGAGAAGACAAAGGAGGGGGAGAATGAAATGTCTTCTATATTCCCAAGGAAGTAAGATGCTGAGCAAGGATTTCCAGACAATGTGGCTACACAGGCGTCTGTACTGGTCAGAGGCCCTTGGCCTCCAAATCATATTATACTTTCCAAATCATATTACCTGGTCCCACTTATTCTGACTCCACATGGATGTAAATTATTAACATACACAGTCTTCGTGCATATTCACTTACATATATGCACATATATCTTAAAGGTTGGGTATTCTTGTGTATAAATGTATATGTCTACATGGATGATATAACTATTAACATGTAAATAGTGTCTTTTTTTGAGATGCTATAGTAAGGAGTTCAGTTTCCTCCTGATGTCTCTTAGGAGCTTTGTAACAATCTAAAGAAATGTATCCTGGATTAGAACAATAGATTAATATTCCTGATGTAGATTCTTGTATTCATTCAGTAAATATTTCCTGCCACCTACTGTATGCCAGGTGCTAGATTATTGGAGCTAAGTTAATAGAGGTTCAGATAAAATGCCGTGGGAGTCCAGAGGAAAGAGTCATGGCAGGGGAGGTGGAATCAAGGAAAGCTTCATGAGGGAGGTAGCATTTGAGCTGGACCTTGAAGAAGAGGTAGAATGTGGACATGCAGAGATGCGGCAATGAATTCTTTGTACCAATGTGGTAGCTTTCCCATCCCCGCCAAGTTGTTCTAAGATTGTGGTCATGTTAATCCTCCCTGGGTGCATGACTTCATGTGCCTTCCTCCACATTAGGTGTTTAGTGAAAAAACCCTTTTGGCTCAATGAAAATGCCTTAATATTGGTCTATCTCTATGTTGAGTTATTTTGATACATTGGCTTGTTTACAAAGTTTATAAATGTACTTTCTTCTGAGCAAGTGATTTAGATGAGAATCCAAAACGTTGGTGAACTCAGTTCTTTGGTGTTTGTATAAATGCCGTGCTAAAAGTTGGAATCGTTGGATCTAGACCCCTGGCAACAGGTCCAGCCCTGGTGGAAAAGGCCACACTGTGTTTGTTTCCAGGGCCTTCAGTTTGTACTTTCCAAATTCTTTCCCTGCACCTGACCACCATCTGCCACCATGATGTCTGTGCCTCACTCCCCTCTGGTACCTGGAACCTGGAGGGAGTTCTCTCAGTCCTCTCACCAAAAAATCAGCTGTCAGTCATTTACACTTCAGTGTGAACTTATGGGCTATTTGTCTTTTAAGAAGATTTCTTCCTAGAAAAAACAAACAAACAAATTTTTTAAAATAAAGATTTTATTTGATATAACATGAGTTTCAGAGCAAGTTAAGAAGATGAAGGAAATTTGGTTTGAACAGAGTACATGTAAGATTGTTCTGTCTCCCTAATACTAGCCACCCTCCCACACACCCTGTGGGCAGTGGACTATTCTCATCGTCTGATGTGCTGTTCCAAAGCAGACAGAGCAAGTTGTACTTTTATAGCTCAGCTTTCCTTTTTAGGCCCTAGGAGATGGAACTAATTGCATAGATGTAGTCTATTTTTTCTTTAGTTATAAAATAAAGAATGGATCGAATCAGCTGGGGTGGGCATGCGTGCCTGAATCTTAAAGGATAAGTAGGAGTTTGTCAACGAGGAATGTGATGCAGTAGAGTGAATAGCATTCGCTGAGCACAGAGGCACACCCAGGGAAGCACATGGCTCATTTGATGCACATAAGCCAAGGCAAATATCCTCTATCATGCCTTTGTGAACTCTAATGACAAGGATGGGTGTCTACACACCCTAAGATCAAGTTAACAGAATAATTGCTGGTGCCAGTTGTGGTGAAGGGTAAAGAACGCTGGAGTTGAAATTAAACAAACTGGGTTCAAATTGTAGTCCTGTCACTTCCTACTTATGCAATTTTGGCAAATCTTCTAAGTTCTTCTGAGACTCAATTTCCACATCTATAAAACTGCTGCATTAACATCTCCCACTAGGGCAGCAAGGGGGCCAGAGGAGAGCACACATGGAAAAACATCTGTGTAAACCCTCCAGCATGGCATCCTCTTTGTATTATGAATGTGATGAAGTTATGGCCGTGTTAGCTCATATGCCCATTCCGTGAATGAGTTGGCAATGTTGAAAATCTCCTCTTTTCCAGAAAGAGAAGTACTTCAAAGTGAAGCCACTGAGCAATGAAGTAACTTCCATAGAGCTTCCTTTGGTAGCCAGTGTTCCGTTTAGCCAGGGGACATATGTGTGTGACTTACACCCTTTGCACAGAGTGTATCAATAAATGGTCACACTCAAATCTCACAATCCATTGTGTTAACCGCTGTGCTAAGCTGGAAGTCTATACTATCAAGTGAGAGAAATATGTGTATTAAGTGTCTACACTCTGTAGGACTCTGTCTTAGATGTTCAATATCTATTATCTCTTTTAAGCTTCATAACAACCCAGGGAGATGGGGATTATTATCTCCATTTTAAAGATAAGGAAACAGAGGTTCAGAAATTTGATTCAAATGTACATTTCCGTTTATTTTTCCCGGTCATCTCCTTTGTTCACTCAGTGAGGGCAATTTCAAAATAAGGTGATTGTTCTCAGCCTTGGTCAGAATCTGTATTAAAATACAGGTAAGTAGTCTCCTTTTATGGATTGGACATTGTGTCATCCCCCAAGCCAAATTTATATGTTGAAATCCTACCCTTCAATGTGATGGCATTAGGAGGTGGGGCCTTTGGGAGGTAATTAGGTCAAGGGTGGAGCCCTCATGAGTGGGATTAGTGCCCTTATAAAACAGACCCAAGGAGCTCTCTCACCTTCCTTCTGATGAGGATACAATGAGAAGTTGGCAGTCCGCAACCTGGAAGAGGGCCCTCACTAGAACACAAACATGCTGGCATACTGGTCTCAGACTTCCAGCCTCCAGAACCGTGAGAAATAAATAAGTTTCTGTTGTCTATAAGCTACTCAGGCTATGGTATCTTGTTATAGCAGCCTGAACTGACGCACACAGCTCCGCTCCAGCTACTGAGTCAGAATGTCTAGGGTGGGACCCAGACATACATGATTTTAGAAAGCATCCCAGGTGACTCTGATAACGAGTTGAGAACCTCTATTGCAAGAAAGGATAGAGAGTATTTGACTAGAGAAGCAAAAATCCACACTGTAGGATTTAAAAGAAGGAACAATCATGTCCTATTGGGGAGTGCACGAAGTCTTCATGGAGGAAGTGGTCCTCGAGATGAACATTGAAAGACGGATTGTATTTTAGCTCTGAAACGGAGGCGCATGAGAATGGGATTGGAAGAAACACACAGTAAAGGCGTTGCAATGAGAAACCCTGGGTTATATGTGGGGAATACTAAGGTTCTGGGTGAATCAGCGTGGAATATAGAAAGAGAAGCAAGTTGGAATGGTAGTTTAGAGCCAAATGGTGGAGGGGCAGGAATTAGACATCAAAAGGCCAGCAGTGAACAGTCGTTGTTGGTTTCTGAGCCGTGTAACAATCCAAGCTGAGTTAATAAAACTAACCTGGCTGCAATATCTGGGATAGACCAGGATTAGGAGAGGCTGTAAGTAAGGAGAATGACGAAAGGGTGGAGTAGGAGTTTGAGTAAATGGTCATGGGGACCTGGCCCGGGGGGCAGCCACGGGTCTTCTTCCTGGTGCAGGGATGGATGGTGAAGAAATGAGATAAAGGAGGGCCGGAGGGAGCCTGGGTTATCATACCACACACCCCCAAAGCCATTAACTCACAGACATATGCTGGGAATGTGTATGGGAAAACATCATTGCCTGGATAAAGTAAGAGCTGTCTTTAGAGTCAAAGAGTAGTCTTGAGGATGACAGATGGGAGTAAGATTGGGACTGGGGCTTGAAGGAAGTGGAGAAGACTTCTAGAGGCTGTTTCAGTAAGTCCAACAGGCAGATGAGGCTGACTGAAAGCTGAGCTTGGCAGCTGTGATGGTCTAGGCAGCCCGAGGGTAGCTACAGTCAGCACTGAAGTCTCCCGCACACAGTGTTTGTTAGCCCCAAACATTTCCGTGTCTTCCGCCATGCCTGCTCCCTTCCCGACCAGAGGTGCTTGAGGATAAGAGAGAATGAAGTTGACGACCCATTGATAGTCATTGATAGTCAGGAACTGTCCACAAACCAGTTTGACA